GCTGCGGAGTCTGCTGTAGCAGGTCCTTCCTGACGAGCCGCAGGGCCTCGAAGATGGGGCTCGCCCTGGCAGTCTAAATGCCATATTTACTCATAAATGCTGGTAAAGGGCTAAGCGGCGAGGATGGGAGCGGAAGGCGGGTTTGACTCGAGGAAAACGATGGGGAAGAAACCGCCATCACCACCACGTGGCGGGGTGGTCGTCCCGGGTCATGCCAAGCCCCGGGCTCATGCTGCGCCGGTCTCTTCCAGACAAATGCCTGGACCCCATTCAGGAGTTCCTCAGTGGCACAGACACAGCAGCGGTGAGGAAGAGATGCGTGTACCGCTCCGGTAGCTTCGATGCCAGCGATCACACTGTGGGCTGGGACAGCGGGCCTGGGAACCTGACAGCCACGTGGTCCTACTCACCGCCCGACCTGGCCGGGTAAGGGCAGGGAGGCACGGTGTCTGCTGCGTCCACAAAGTGCACCCCATGGCCGGGTTCTTGCAGGCAATTTGGGGGGATCCCTCGGTCTCCAGCTGTCATGTCAGCCAAGCCAGGCGCTGTCCCTCAACTCCGTGCAAAGCCTAGAGCTTTTCTAACTCTTGGTGCAAGTTAGGAGCAAGCGGAGCCTGGCTCTGCAGGGAGATGGGGGCGCGGGGCGTAGCCCTCGGGTGTTGGATCAGGGTTTGCTCTTGCACAGACAGCAGGGGCTGCTCCTGTCCTGGGGGTTGAGAGCTCTCTGGCAGCCCTCCCTGCAAACTCACCGCTTGGCCACCCTTCCCTCGCAGGGTCTGGTACTGGGGCTACTTCTCTGTCTACGACAGCGGAGGTTACACCCAGGAGCTGGGCACCACCTTGGAGGACAGCAGAGCCCGCCTGGACTTTCTTCAGCACCACGGCTGGATCGACAACATGTAAGCCACGCTCCGGGGGCACCGCGTGTGGGGTGCGTGGTGGCTGGGGTCGGCAGGGGAGAGCCTGGAGCTGGCTGCGGGGGTTGCAGGTGAGGGAAAGGGGAAGGAGGAGCCTTACGCTGAGACTCCCCTCTCAAGCCAACCTACCCATCCAGCCCCAGGAGGGAGGTGCTGCTTGGGGCTGAACTAGAAAAGCATCATCCTAAGCAAGACAGATGCCAGGCCTGGGCTGCTCTAGCAGCTCCCGGGACCCCACGAACGTGGGGGCACCGAAGACGGAGCCCGCACTTGTCCCCGTGCCCTGACCCCTCTGCTCTCCCAGGAGCCGAGCGGTCTTTGTGGAGCTGACGCAGTACAACCCCGGCGTGGACCTGCACGCGGCCATCACCCTGCGGCTGGAGTTCCCCGTGGCGGGGCACGCGGTGACGGCC